TCTCCCAGGGGAATTGTGCACACAATCTCAAACCCATGAGTGGAGTATATATGGTAGTGTGGTGGTCAAAATGGCCATTGGGATAATTGTGCTTATTTGTCCTTCCCTTCCCGGAACCCCCCACCATGGTGATTCTACTTTTCGTGATAACAAGTATAGGGATATGGAAGTGGAAGAAATTGAGCATGGTCAAAATGGAGAGTTCAAGATCATGGTGGAATGCCTACTTGAAGGAGGAAAGAAAGAGCAAAATGCCTTAGAGGAGCTTTTGGAAAATAGTCTCCAAAATAATTTGGCGCTTGAAAGGTTGAACTCACAAATGGGAGAAATGCTTGAAGCTTTAGAGGTTCAAAGAGCCTCGGAAGTGAATGATAGACAAGAACCTTCCTTCGACGTTGAAGCCGAAAATCCTTCTTTGGCATTTTATCAAAACCAAGAAGAACTCTCAAATGCTCAAAAAGAGAAAATGATGCTCATGTTGGAGGCCATTCTTGAAAATGAGGAGAAGCAAAACTTGGCACTTGAGGACTTGAAACAGATTTTGACTCAAAATGATGAGATTATCTGCACTTTGGAAGCTCAAATGAAAATATTGGTTGAGGCTCACTATGCCCACCAACTTGAGAGTGTGGAAAGAGCTCAAGAAAAGTCCAACTTCTAGGAAGAAGGTGAGCTTTATTTTGAGTAATCAAGAATTGAACATCTGCCAACCGACTCCATGCTTGTTAGTGGTGCCAAGAAAATTATTAAATTAGAGTCAACCGATGTAATTGAAAAGATGGTTGAAAATGGCTCTAGTTCGGGGGGAAAAAGAGGATGTCAAAATCCGAAAAAGTTACAAGTTGGGAGGCAATTATATCATTCAACGCATATTTCAACTTTGGACTTGTATGGTAATATGGGAATTGAATCATGTGAATCCTTGTAGGAGTGTAAAGAAGAAAGATAAGAGCCATACATCTTGCAATTTGAATATTCAAGATCGCAAAATGACATACCTCCAAAGAAAGCCAATAAATGCAAAATGAAGCTGCCCAACAGAACTCTGGTTCAACTGCACCTGCGAAAATATTTGCGCAGATGTGGCTTCGCAGAAGCGCCCAGGACAACACAGATGCAAAATAATCGCAGAAGAGATCTTTTTTTCGCAGGAGCGCTCGCGCAAAAGCAGTCCGTCGGGTAAATTTTAAAGACCCACTGTGTCTTTCATCAGGTGAGACTCTAACCTTTTTTCCCCCAAACTCAAAACTCCCTCTTATCTCTCACACAAGGCAACTAATGCTCGTAAAATCTATTGCTCTCACACAAGACAACTCAGATAAATCTTTATCTCCACTCTACTTCTCTTCTCTTTTTCTTCTTCCTCTTCTTCTTCTTCTTCTTCTTCTTCCTCTTCTTCTTTTTCTACCCCTAATTCCCCATTTTCTTCTGATTATTGTTAATATTAGGGGTGAGGAAATTGGTTAAAAGTTTGCTGATGTGTGCTGTAGTTATTGAAAAACATTTGGGGAAATTTGAGTACCTAATTTGTTCAAAAGGGCATAACATTATCTATGCTTGTCATGTGTTTGACAAATTATCCGAAAATTTTTTTTTTACTAAGCACCTTAAAATCATGTTTAATCAAGCCGTGCAATCTTGTAAAGCACAAATTTAGAAGTCTTGAATATAAATTTTGTGCCAAAAATGTGATTTAAATTGAAAATAGTTGGCAGTTTCTGGACTTTGTAATACTATGATGAACACCGCAGATGCACAAAAAGGCACCTGCGATACTTTTTCCGTAGGTGCAGTGTGTGGTCAACTGTGAAAGTTCATAGAAGCGAAGAAAATTCCATAGAAGTGGAACCGCACCTGCGATGGTATTTCCGTAGGTGCGGTGACTGGGCAGTTTTTGCAAAAATAGTAGCTATAGAACTTTGCCTTGCTGGGCCCGTTTGGATTGATTCATTGGCCTAATTTCATTGTTTTGAATTGCTTAACATGATTATAATTTTCGACTAATTTAATTTTTATTTTTAGGTACTTTAAGTTTAAAATGGAGCCGCACATGAACAAAAATGCGACGCTCAATCACGAAAGTGAAGAAGTGGCTGAGGATTTGAACTATGATACCAGCAGATTCATGTCTTCTGAGTGCCAAAACCGGTATTATGATGATCTCCTCACGAAGAAGCTCAAACTTGGGAAAGAAATTGCCGATGATAAAGTGGTTGAGCTCCTTCCGGATTTCCATGGCCGACTAATTTTAAGCGGCTGGACCTGGTTCATCCCTACTACATGCAAGGCCAATGAGGAATGGGTGCGGGAATTTTACACCAACTCAAAGCATACACATTTCCAAAACCATGAAGTTACAATAAGGGTAAATATTGTGAAATTTGGAGTTGAAGAGATAAATGATGTCTATGGACTTCAAAATCATCCGCTCGAGCCGATGCAAGAAAGAGATACATGCGACAATGGTGATTGGCTAGTCTGAAAGCTTTGTCCTATAGGTCAAACAGTGACTTGGGCTAAAAAGAAAAAAAGGCATCAAATGTGGTGGTTTCACAGCTGAAGCAAAAATGTGGTTGTATATCATTGCGAGCAGAGTGTCTCCTTGTGGGAACGTGTCTGATGTCACATATACTAGGGCCCTTATAATTTCTTGCATCCTTGATGGCATTCCAGTGAATGTTGGTCATTACATCGTTCAGAGCCTAAGTTGGGGATAAGTTGGGGATGAGGCTAAAAGCCTAAGTTGGGGGTATTGGTATTAATTGGGAAAAGGTGAAGATGTACATTGTGTGTAGAAACATATACCTCAAAGTTATTTATATGAAGATACTCAAGCTCCAGAAGAAAATAGTTATATAAAAAATATATGGAGTCTTGAGAAAATTAGAGAGGTACTTTAAGGTGGTTCTATGTTGGTAACTAGATGTCAATAAGGGATATGTGGTTTAAAAAGAAGCAAAGTGCAAAAAGAAAGACAAATGTGAGTAGTGCTCAAGAAGGGTGTAGTCATTTGTATACCAAATGCTTATCCTACCCTTCCCTAAGCCTACATTACAAGCTTAAAAGTCCTTATGGGATCTCAAACCGAATGTTCTTGAATAGGCGGCGAATTAAAATAAGGGAAATCTTATGGCATGATATTTTGTAACACTTGAAATTCTTTGTTGAGAGTGAGTGCCTCTGTGCATTTGTCCCCTGTGTTGTTATTGTAAATATGGTATTTTCTAGACTTACTTTCTTGTGAGTGCACATGGATTATAATGGATTGGTGACATTGATAGATTTCGAATTGAGTAAATTGAGCATATGTAGTAGACTAGTGCTTTTGAGTCACTTCTTGAGGCTTGGTTGTTGTCACTTTATTATTTTGAAACTCCATTGCATTCTTGAAATTGTTTTAAATGAGGGAGTTGTTTGATTGAAATTCACATGCTTGAGCCTAATTATTTGTACCAACCAAAACCATAAGTGTTATGCTTAACTAGAGAATGCGATTTGAAGATGATAGAGATGCTAATTGAGCTTTAAATGGTAGAGCCTCATTGTGTGTTTGGTTTTGATTTGCTTGAGGATAAGCAAAAGCTTTAGGTTGGGTGTGTTGATGAGTGGTGCTTTTACCATTTATTTTCATCCTTGTTCTTTAGTTTCTGAGTCCATTAAATATAAAATGAGGTGATTTATTGTGTGCATTGCAAGATTTTCAGTTACAATGAGTCTTGAAAAGAATTGAAATCAAATGAAGTGGAATTAAGCAAAAGAGAGTTGAAATAATGCAAAATCCTTCAGTGATTTCGCATCTGCAAAACACAGCTCGATTCTGTGAGTGGAGGCCCACATTTGCGCAAATTAGCAATATTCCACTATGACTGCATCTGCGATTGACAATCCGTATCTGCGGAGTCGCTGTAGCGGTGTCATGTCCGCATTTGTGGAGTAGGAAGTTCTCCACATGTTGCGCATCTGCGAAAGGGAGTCCGCTTTTGCGGAGCCGCACCTACGATGATTTTCCGCAGGTGCGGTTAGCGGGCTTCAGCTATGGACAGTCTTGGCATTTCACATTTTCTCCAATCCAAACCCACAAATACACGACCTAGCTTATTGAAAATACATTTTTGACTTATTTTTAAGTCTCTTGACTAGAGAACACAAGTTTTGGAGCTAGGGTTCTTGCGCACACACTTGAGTCTTGAAGATTTGAAACTTTTGGTTGAGAATTTCTTACCCATTTATGTTCATTTCTTCATCTCCTTGCTTGTATTGTATATCTAAGTGTGTAGTATTTTTTCCAACACTTGAATCTTGTTTATGGGAATATTCATATTTAAAGTATGGATTAAATATCTTATTGTGCTTATGTATTGAATGATTTTTATTTATTATGAAGTGAATTATTATTTCTTTAATTATTCTTGTTCTTTAATGTTTCCAAAGAGATTATCTAACTCTAGGACTTGCCTATTAACTTCGAATTAATTTTGGGAAAGTTTAATTAACAAGAACTTGAAGCGTTAACCCTCACTTTATAGATTTTACCTAGGGATAGGATTGAACTACTTGTAGCCATATTCGGGTATGCTTAATCTCTTAATTATTTTAGGGATAGTTCAATTAGGAAGTCTTGTTAGTCTTCGGAAGAAGCTAATATAGAATTATTACCCGAGACTAATTAACATAATCTCGCTCATATTTGTAAGATGTGGAATACATTGGATCGTTACTTGAGTGTAATTCCCCATATATCCATGCTTGTAGTCATTGATCATTTTACTTGCTTTCTAGGTTAGTTTATATTTCCGCATTTAGACATAATTTTTTTCTCAAAACCGTTTTAAGTGTTTGGCTTAGCATAATAAGTCATAATTCTCTTACACGCCTAATCGCCTACATATTGTTCTCTATGGGATTCGACCCCGACTCATAGTTGGGTAAATTATATTGCATACGACCGTGTCCATTTACTTTTTAGTAGAGGATTTGGACGTCATCAGGTACTTCCGCAGATGCCAGCTTATGCTAAATGTTTGAAGGAGATATTGTCCAAGAAGCGAAAAGTGGAAGAGACATTGGTGGTCAAGCTAACAGAGCCCTGTAGTGCCATCTTGCAAAATAAGCTCCCTAAAAATTGTGGAGATCCAGGGAATTTTAGTATACCTTGCTCTTTAGGAAGTACTAAATTTAAAAAATCTTTTTATGATTTAGGTGCTTCCATTAGTCTTATTCCTTTGTCTATTTTTAGGAAATTGGAAGGAGAGATTGGAGAGATCAGGTCGGTACCTGTGTCCTTGCAGCTGGCGGATCTGACCACAATCATACCGGAAGGAATAGTGGAGGATGTGCTAGTTCGGGTGGACAAATTTGTGTTCCCGGTGGACTTCATTGTGGTGAACATGGGTGAAAATAGGGAGGCCCCGCTGATTTTAGGAAGACCATTCTTGGCTACGGGCAGAGCAATTATGGATATTTAGGAAAGGCAACTCATGCTCAGAGTTGGGGAAAAAATGTTGATCTTCAAGATGGAAGGAGAAAAAGGGCCCTAAAAGAGAAAATTGGAAAGAGTGAAACTGATAAGTGTGGGGTGTACCCAAAGAAGGATGAAAAGAAGCTCTCAGCGTGGATGTGTGCACTAGGTCGAGCGTGCAAAGGAGATCCCGACTTCGATTCAAACCCCGACTAGATGAATCAGAGAAGTTTCCTTTACGTCTTGCTTTTTATTTGTGTGTCATGGGGACATGCCACAATTTAAAGTGTGGAGTGGGATGTTGTAAATATGTACATGTGTGTTTTTTATTATGTTTGAAAAAAAAATTGACTTTTCCCGATGATGGATTTCCCCGACTGTCTTCTTGAGGGATTAAAGTCGAAGAAAAAAAACTTTGAGGCATTTATTTTTGTTTTTTTAGGTAGTGTAATAATTCCCCCTTGGTTTTTCTTTGTGCCGCAGTTCTTTTTCGGGTTTTTGTTGAACCAGGTGTAGTTTTTTCTTTTGTTTGAAAACAATGAGTCTTGTGCTATGTATTGAATGGAGATGACTTTTCTTGACTTTGTTGTGCCTTGAGAGCAGTGAGTGCCTTATTTGTGACGCCTAGGCTCAGTTCTTGACTCATGTATAAGTGCCTTAAATTATTTGATTTTGACTTTGCCTAACTGCTTTGACTAGGGAGTCGGGATGGATCCGATCCTAAGTAAGTTATTTTCCAATGTGTGTGTGAGATTTTGTTGATATTTTGTGAATGTCGATTGATATCTCGAACTTGCCCCGTGTGTTTGCAACGCGAAATAGTAGTCGTGTTCAATCTAGGAAGTGATATAGGCATTTCTTTGTTGAGTCAATTATATGTTTTACCCACCTAATTGTGAAGTATCTTAGTTAGCCCTTTTTTAACTTGTAATCCTATTTCTTTGGCAACCACACTACAAGCTTGAACCTTTGTTTGAATTATCTATTTGCTAGAACCTTTTACTTCTCGTGAGCACTTGATTTTTTTATGAGTTTGTAAAATCTAAGTGAGGTATGGTCGGGTTTTGAGTGGAACTATAGAAAAAGGAGAAAGATGGACATGTTTGAAAAATTGTGAGAGCCACTTGTAGGGAATTGAAAAAAGAGTTTGATTGAAAAAGAAAGGAAAAGAAAAAAAATCAAAACTTAGAAAAGAAAAACTGATTCCATGCTAGTGGTAGTTCTCATATTGTTTATGCTTAAAGATATTTGGAGCTTAATGCTATTATGTATGATGGTTGGGACTTGGTTTGTCACGACCCCAATTTCCCACCTTATGATGTCGTGATGGCACCTAGCCTCTAAGACTAGGTAAGCCCAAGACATGCTGATTTAATAACATAATTGAACTATTTAATCGTTTATCATAAACCATTAAATGAAATACATAACTGCAAGCGGCCAATAGTTAAACATTTCCCAAAACCGGTAGTACGGAGTCATAAGAACTATTAAAACACACTAGAATTTCTAAACACAACATTGTTTTGAATTATGATTTAATAGTAACATAATGAAGTAAGATGGTGACTCCGAGGCCTGCGAACGTCAAGCAGGTATACCTTGAAGTCTTCCTTCGTGCAGACGCAACTCTCAACAACACAATCAGAATACCTGGATCTGTACAAAAATATCCAAAAGCGTAGCATGAGTACACCACAATGGTACCTAGTAAGTATCAAGCCTAACCTCGGTAGAGTACTGCCGAGGCCAGGTCAAGACACCTACTAGACATAGAAATCTGTTCAAGATATGCATAAGCTAACAATGGAAAGAACATCAATGTAAGACTAACATCGAGAAAAGTATTAATTTACAACCAACAATGAAGTAATAGTAACATAAATGTCAGAAATTAGTAAACGAGTAATAAAGAAATAACATAATCAGAACACCGATGAGATGTAAATGAACTCAAATAAAGAAAACGGATGACAACTCAAATAATCAAATCGCTCCCAACTCATGGACTTACAACAAGAATTACCCTGAGGCACCACACCTCATAAACCACAAGTCATGGATCACAATTTCCAAATCTTACACATATGGCACCTCGTGCCCACAATAACAATCACATTCGCACGGCAAAATCCACGTGCTATCATATACTTTTCAACCGTGACAAATATTAATTTAGATGAATGAAATATATATTTAAACACCATAAAACATAATAGCAATCTTGAATAAAGTAAGGTGGCAAATGAAATAATGAGTTTATTTTACAAATCAAGTAAAGTAAAATAATATGCAATCTGTACAAAACAGAGTATAAGATGAGTTTAGTTTCAAAATCAATAAAATTGAGTAAAAGCATCATTTTTAAACACAACAAAACATAAGTTAAATTAATGAATTAAATATAGAATTTATTAAGGAAAAACATGATAACAATTTTAAGTAAGGTAAACATCTAACAGGGTGATGAGTATAATTTGAGAACTCAATTATAGTGAAAGTGCGATAACTGTTTAGAATAATAAGGCACCGAGTGAGATAACGAGTTATATCTTAAGATGCACATAGAATAAAGCATGTTAATAATTCTTTTATTTATACCATTATGATACCAACAACTCAACAAAATATGATATAGTGACTCCATGCAATTAAATTCACATTGACAATCAATTCACCAAGTTATAACGGAGGCACAGATTGACATGTTAGAGCAACATAACAAATCACGTAGAATGCATAACTCATACAAGAAACCACAATCGTTCCAACACCAAGATAACAACGAATAACAAGACACATTCAAAATGCAGATGAATGATTGAAGGAAGAACAATGACCGTTCAAATCAACAAGTTGTTCCAACATGGAATGTACAATGAAAATCACAACCGAGGTACCGCCTCATATTCACATTTTACAATTTCAATCACAATCTTTTCTTATATCACCGCGTGAGCCTTACATTTAGTTTTAAAAATTATTTTTCCCGAAATAGCTACAACCCACCTTATCTTACCGCGTGACTTCAAGTAGTTCCCCTACAAGCAACACACGTATCAAGACCACCTTATCTCACCACATGCGTATCAACCCCTAGCCTTATACCACCGCATGCGTATAAATATCACAACTCGAACCACAAGTGTTCATATGCCATAACTTGCCACAAAGTCAACAACAACAATATTTCTACAACAAATAGCCCATGGCTCAACCACAACGTGTACAAAACTTTTAACAATAACAAAATGATTGGGAATGCTCAACAATGAAATGTATCTCAACAATTAAGAACTTTACCTCAATGTGATAACGGCCATTATAACTTCAACACCAATAACTCAAAAAGATGATATTCCACGAAATAACAACTTCAATTAAAAGTGATTCAACAATTAAGAGGAAACAAGACAATAAGGAAGGCAATAACTTCAACTAAAGCATATAAGAGAAAAATAACAAGAAAGAGGTAGAACAAGTTCTAACAACGTCAAATAGAGCATATAAGAGTAGATTAACAATGAGAGATATAACATGTTATGACAATTCAATTAAAGGGATGAAAAGAGTCTAGATATTCTAAACCGGTCAAATATAACATATAGCCCGTGTACCCACTCGTCACCTTGCGTACACGACTTTCACATAACACAAATAGCACATCAACTGAAATCCTAAGGGGTAGTTTCCCCCACACAAAGTTAGGCAAGATACTTACCTCAAACAAGCCCAATCGATACACTAGAAGCGCCATCCCGCTCAAATCATCCTCCGAACGGCTCGGAACTAGCCAAAAATAACTCAAAATTATCAAATAATTCCATATGAAGAAAACCCAATCGATAAAGGTCGAATCTTTACACATTTACCCAAAGTCAACCAAAAAGTCAAACCTGAGCCCGCACCTCGGAACCCGACAAAACTCACAAAATTCGATAACCCATTCAATTACGAGTCCAATCATACTAACTCACTCAATTCTAACTCTGAATCGATGTTCAAAACTCAAAAATTCACTTTAGGAAAGTTTAGACAATTTCTCTTTTGAAATCATCAATCAAATGCTAAAAATGAAGTTGGAATCACAGAATATAATCAAAACCGAATAGAAAACACCTACTCCATGGAAGAAACTTGAAGAACATGCTTGAATTCTCCCAATCCCAAACTTTCAAGATGAGAAAAACTCCAACAACATTAATAGCCAGCAATGCCCCGCTGTTCAGCCTAGTTTCTCATGACAAACAATCACAAAACTCACTTTTAATGCCTCCAATGGATTCCTCTTGAAATTCCAGTCAATTTAGGATTTGGAATCACTCTATTTGACCTTAAAATGAAGGAGATATGTTAGTTTTAATATTTGAAAATAGTGCAAATTTTTAAATACGAATTGAGTGGTAATGTCGTAATTAATTTGAAAAATCTAGCAACCCAATTCTTAATAAAATGACCATAACTTCCTCATACGATGTTGAACTTGATGATTTCAATTGCTATGGTTCCAAAATTAGGACACATATATAATGATTTAGTCAAAACACGAATCAAAGGCCGTTTGCTCAATATGGTAACATTTATGCTCAAATCGACGTCGAAATCGAAAACAATCGCCATATAACCCTAACTTATCCAAACCTGATCGGAATTGAACCAAACTTTGTGGACATGTCCAAAATCATCATACAAACTTATTGGAATAATTAAAACTCGATTCCAAGTCCGTTTACCCAAAAGTCAAACCTTGATCAACTCTTCCAACTTAAAGCTTCTAAAACGAGAATCATTCTTCCAAATCAATCCCGAATCGCTCGAAAACCAAAACCAATAATACACGAAAGTTATAATATATAATATGAAGCTAATCAAAGTCTCAAACCACCGAATAGAATGTTAAAGCTCAAAATGATCGATTGGGTCATTATATGGTTCAACATAAGGGTGGGGTTTCAATTGTTAATGTATATGTATTAAAGTGCTCAGGGAGATGTAGTCACTATATCT